AGCCATTTCATTCCAATGAACCTTTTTCTCCCACTGATGACAAATCTCATCCAACATTCCTATCACCTCTACAATACAATTAAATAAAACTCGAAAAAATTCCCCTTTTCCTCTTTGCTGCACTGTTTCATAGCATATAATTTGTTCCACCCTCGTTATTCTTACACCGTATAGTGCAGTTGAATAATTTCAATATCTAATCCTTTCAGCTTGACCACTGATTCAACGTGCCCATTAAGGGTATGGAGCTAACTTATCCTGAAATTGCATATTTTGTGAGAATATAAAACTTGGTTACTCATAACATTTATTAAAAATAATCACAAAGAATTAAACTTCTACAAAATAAAAAACATGTCCTACATACAAACTTTAAAAGCTATCTGCAAAAGTCAATGGTCTTTGTCTAAATTTCTACAGGAAATGCTTGAAATGGTCAATATGGCTATGCACACCGTTTGGTCATGTATGTACCTTGCAACTTCAGCCCGTCTCTTAGCCTGCTCAGCAATCTCAGACAGCTCCCGTAATTTTCTTCTCATTGAACAAGCTTGAAGTTTTTGCAGTCTGGAGGCCATGAAACGTGTGTTGAGCCGTGGCCCACTATGCCTCTCTCTCGCCCTTGCCATAATCCTTCTTCATCGTGAAAGCTGTCTAGACCATTAGAAATGAAAAATTAAAAGTGAGTAAACAATACTGATATAGTTGTAGTATGCTTCATAGTTGTTTTCAAGTTTGTTCAGGTACCTTGTTCTGGATCATAGAATCCCAAGCAATGCCAATCAATGCAAGGCGGATGATGAAGTTGAGGACATCTAGAGGGAAGTAGGTAACAACACTAACGCCGTGTTTTGTACGCAGTAATACATTATGTAAGAATCGAATGAACATGAGAATAGAATAAACTTGGTAATAGAATGTAATGTGTATTACCATTCTAATGTTTGACAATTAATTATGATTAAGTCTTAGAATGGAATGCTCATTCCATTCCAAATTTTGGATAAAATTAATTTCTATTGGAATGAAATGAAATTTAACCAAAATAATTTTTGTCATAAAATTTCCAATTTATTGCATACTTCATTATAATGAATATTTTTGTTAATTTTAAAATTTGCCAAATTAGATTAAATATGTAGTAAATAAAGTCACAAAGAATCACATAATTAAAAAATTCACTAAAAAATAAGAAAATCAATAATAAACAACAAATAAAAAAAATATAAATGTGTACGTTCATCAATATCCTACATAATCCTTCATGAATGGTACTCATTCAACACACAATGACTATGATCAACCTTCAAAATGTGTGCCTATTCCTTCTACCATAATTCTTTAATGTGGAAAATCTTATACAAATAACCTAATTTTCAAAATTTGACAAATACTATATAACATAATCATTAACCAAATAACCTTTTTCATGGAAAACATAATTAAACTCAAGCTTAACAGATAAGAGTAACACAAGTGTTTCATAGACAAAAAAAAAATTCCTCTTTAAAACCTTGATTTGTGATTCAATATGTGGTTTGGCCCTAATTCCTTTGCCCGACAGCTTCTCTAGCAAAGATTGCTCAATGACATTCAAATATCCTGGTTTAAATCCATTATCAGCTCAATGTATTCCGGAGTTAACTAGTTCCAAAAGGGTCTAAATCAATTTAGCATCTTCATCAACAATCCATTTCTCTTATTCTTTCTCGGACCTCGTGACTCCACTTGACTTGAAGATGCCATTTTTTCAAACTATTCTTATTGAAATAAGGTCAATACACAATCAAATTAAAGTGCTAATAAACAGAGTTCTAAATAATTCTAATGCAAAAACAAGCAACCCCAAAAATATAGCACATACTTGTTTAATAATCACGATAAACCTTGATTATAAACTAATCCTGTCCTTCCACACCAACACACGAAATACAAAAATAAAAAGTGATTAACAAAAGGGGAGTAAAAATGTAAATTCACAGGATGCACAACATGAAAATAATCTTAAGTTTTGGAGTAAAGTTTTTAATTTAGATCAATCCAGACAATGTCAAGATCCAAACAGCCTACTTGACCTTACAAACCAAAACAAAACCTCGAGTTTACATCAATTCTGATAACCCAAGGGACTTACTCGTACCACACTCACATAATACTTTTTTTTTTTTTAATCAAGGCCATTGGAATAGAATAAGAGTGTCAAAATGCACAAGCATGAGTACCATGTAAAAGAATGTAGATACATAAGAGAGGCTGTGTGCATAGCTAAACTGTGCCATCCACACACTCATTATCTTACCTATACTTATGTCAACAGAATATCGCCAGCTGAAATCACCACATAAATTGACAACAACTATATACAATGCAGACAAGCAGGTCACAAAACACAAATCCTTGTTATAAATTTAGGTGTTAGTATTTCATCCAAAGCTAGGCATAAAGTTAGTTTAAATCCTTGGATCATGAAAAAATTGATAAGCTTTTGAACCCTTTGATAAGGTTCTACCATAATGGTAAATAATCAATACACTGAAAATGGAATATCAGTTGGAAAAATAATATTAAACATGATTTTTCATGTTTTAGGAGCTTTTTTTATGCATTTAGTTTTTTGTATTAGTGGGTCATCAATTTGGTATTAGTGGAGGACAAAGTAAATAAGGTGTTTTAATTTTCCAAGTAGGGTCTTTATTATTTTTATTATTGCATTATGTAGTAGGGTTAGTTTGTATGGCATGAGAGTCTATATATATCATATTTAATGCATCTACTTGGATATGAGTGAATACAAAGAGTTCTTCCAATCTTCAATAGTCTCATCCATTATATTTTTTTTGTAAGTGTGTGATAGTCCTCTAGATTCCAACAAAGTGGTATCAGAGCTAGGCTTAAGTGTTGAAAAAAGAGAGTGAGAGAGAGATGAATGCTTCCATTTCAAATGCCTTGATTCATCAAAGATAACTATGAGAATTGGTGTATCCGTATGAAGACAACTCTTGGATCTCAAGACTTATGGGAGATTGTAACAATTGGTTACACAACACTGCAAGATGAAGCTTCCTTAAGTCAAGCCCAAAAGAAAGTCTTGTAAGCTACAAAGAAGAAGGATCAAAAGGCTTTTTCACTTATCTAACAATGTTTGGATGATTCTATGTTACAGAAGGTTGCTAGTGCAACCACATCCAAGCAAACATGGGGTGTTCTTAAAACTGCTCATAATGGAGTGAAAAAAGTCAAGAAAGTTCGCCTCCAAACTCTGCGAGGTCAATTTGAGACTTTACGTATGAAGGAATCCAAATTAGTTTCAAATTATTTTACAAGAATCTTGGTGGCTGTGAATAATTTGAGAACTTATGGTGATGATCACTATAATGATACTTGGGTGATAGAAAAAATCCTCCGTTCATTGGACCCCAAGTTTGACTACATTGTCATAGCCATTGAAAAGCCTAAATATTTAGACATAATGACAATTGACGAACTCATGGGATCGTTGTTAGCTCATGAAGAACGGCTAGGCAAGAAGAAACAAGGGCCGTTGGAGCAAGTGCTACAAACCAAACTTTCTTTCAAAGAAAAAGAAAGAAGGCAAGATGGAAGTCAAAGAAGTAGAGGGCATGGACGTGGACGTGGAGGTCGTGGTGGAAGTGGTTGGGGTAGAGGAGAAAACTTTGGCCAAAATGTGTCCAACAAAGAAGAAAGAGACCAAGAATCACATCGTGGAAGAGGACGTGGAAGAGGCAACAATTCAAAGTCATTTGGAGCGAGGTATGACAAATCTCATATTCAATGTTACAATTGTCATCGATATGGCCATTTTGCTTTCGAGTGTAGAAATGATTTTGTGGAATAAAGAGCACACTTTGTTGAAGACAAAGTTGAACAGGTAGAGCCGACCTTGTTGTTGGCATACAAAGAAGAGTAAAAGGGACACAAGAACGTGTGGTACCTTGACTCCGATGCTAGTAATCATATGTGTGGAAATAAAGAGATGTTTGCGGAGCCTGATGAATCGATGAGTGGAAAAGTCACTTTTGGAGATTCTTCTCAAATTTCGGTAATATGAAGAGATAATATTTTGATTCGTTTGAAGGGTGAAAGGCACCAAATTATTTCTAATATTTTTTATGTTCCAACATGAAAAATAATATTTTGAGCTTGGAACAACTCTTAGAAAAGGTTATGATATTTGCATGAAAAATCATAATCTTTTAATAAGATATGGAAATGGGAATTTGGTTGCTAAAGTGCCAATAACAAGAAATAGAATGTTTTGGTTAAATATTTATAGTGATGTGGCAAAATACTTGAAAGCATGTGTTAAAGATTCTTGGTTATGACACTTGAGATTTGGGCACTTGAATTTTGGAGGACTAACCTTGTTATCTAGAAAGAAGATGGTGAACGGATTGTCTTCTATTAACCACCCGGATCAACTTTGTGAGGGATGTATAATTGGAAAGCAAGCTAGAAAGAGCTTTCTCAAAGAATCCATTTCAAGAGCAACCAAACCACTTCAACTTGTTCACTCGGATGTTTGCGGCCCTATAGATCCACCACCATTTGGTAAGAACCGGTATTTTCTTCTCCTTATTGATGATTTTAACCGAAAAACGAGGGATTATTTTCTAAAACAAAAATCGGAGGTGTTTCGTGTTTTTAAAAAGTTTAAGGCTTTGATTGAAAAACAAATTGGGTATAAAGTCAAAGCAATTAGATCCGATATAGGAGGTGAATTCACATCAAATGAATTCAAAATTTTTGTCAAGAAAATGAAATTCACCATCCTCTAACGGTTCCAAGATCACCACAACAAAATAGTGTTGCCGAAAGGAAGAACCGAATCATTCTTGACATGGCTCGGAGTATGTTGAAGAGTAAAAAAATACCCAAGGAGTTTTGGGCGGAAGCTATTGATTGTGCCATCTACTTGTTAAATCGGTGTCCTGCTAGAAGTGTTCAAGACAAAACACCACAAGAAGCATGAGGAGGAATCAAGCCAAATGTTTCTCATTTGCGGGTCTTTGGAAGTGTATGCTATGCACATGTGACAGATGAGAAACGGACCAAACTCGATGACAAGAGTGAAAAATTTGTCTTCGTTGGCTATGATTCAAGAAGCAAAGGTTACAAACTTTACAACTCAAGTAATGACAAGATAATCATTAGTAGAGATGTTGAGTTTGATGAAGAAGATGAATGAGATTAGAACACTCCACAAGAAGACTATGATTTTTTTTCATTCTTTGAAGAAGAGGGGGAGCCCAATAATGAGATCATGGAGCTGCCCATTTACTCTCCTCCACCATCACCACCATCATCCACCAATGTGCAAGCATCTCCATCATCATCCGAAGGAAGCTCAAGTGAAAGGCCCCCTCGCATGAGGAGTCTTCGAGATATCTATGAAGAAACCGAAGAGGTAATTCAAGGATTTAGTGATCTAACACTATTTTGTCTATTTGCCGATTGTGATCCCATAGGCTATGAGAAAGTGACACAAGATAAGAAGTGGAGGAGTGCCATGAATGAAAAAAATGATGCCATTGAAAGAAATGGAACATGGGAGCTTGCCACACTCCCTAGAGGACAAAAAGTCATTGGAGTGAAGTGGGTGTACAAGACAAAGAAAAATGTCAAAGGTGAAGTGGAGAGGTATAAAGCAAGGTTGGTTCCAAAAAGCTATAGTCAAAGACCGGGTATTGACTATGATGAGGTATTTGCACCCATTGCTCGTTTGAAAACAATTAGATTAATTATTTCGTTAGCCACTCTAAATGATTGAAAATTCATCAAATGGATGTAAAGTCCGCTTTTTAAATGGCTTTCTTGATGAAGAAGTGTATGTTGAACAACCCTTGGGTTATGTTGTGAAAGGGCAAGGAGAGAAAGTCTTGAAATTAAAAAAGGCTTTGTATGGTTTGAAGCAAGCACCAAGGGCTTGGAATAGTAGACTTGACAAGTACTTTCAAACAAATAATTTCACCAAGTGCCCCCATGAACTTGCTCTTTATGCAAAAGTGAATAATAATGGTGATATACTCTATGCATGTTTGTATGTGGATGACTTGATCTTTATAGGAAATTGTCCAAGAATGTTTGAAGATTTCAAGAGAGCAATGGCTAAAGAATTTGAGATGATCGACATTGGACTTATGTCATACTACTTTGGCATTGAAGTGAAGCAAATAGAGGAAGATATTTTTATTTATCAAGAAGGTTATGCTAAAGCAATTTTGGCAAAATTCAAGATGCAAGATTGTAAGCCGATATGCACACCCGTTGAATGTGGTGTAAAACTGTCAAAATATGAAGATCGAGAGCATGTGGATCCTACCCATTTCAAGAGCCTAGTGGGAAGCTTGAGGTACTTAACATGCACAAGGCCGGATATTCTTTTTGGTGTTGGTCTTGTAAGTCGCTATATGGAAGCTTCTACCATGACCCATTTGAAGGCGGCGAAAAGAATTCTTAGATACATCAAAGGTACACTTGATTATAGATTGCTATATTCTTGTTCTAAAAATTTCAAGCTTGCTGGTTATTGTGATAGTGATTGGGCCGAACATATGGATGATAGAAAAAGTACTACCGGGTATGTTTTCTTCATGGGAGATACCACATTTGCTTGGAGTTCAAAGAAGCAACCCATTGTGACTCTTTCGACTTGTGAAGCTGAGTATGTAGCGGCTACATCATGTATTTGTCAAGCCATTTGGCTTAGAAATTTGTTGAAGGAACTTCATTTGCCTCAAAAAGAATCGACAGAGATCTTTATTGACAACAAATCAGCACTAGCGTTGGCAAAGAATCTGGTGTTTCATGATCGTAGTAAGCATATTAACAAAAATTCCATTTCATTAGAGAATATGTGACCAAGAAAGAGGTGGAGCTCAAGTTTGTGAAGTCTCAAGATCAAATTACGTATATTTTCCCTAAGCCACTCAAAGAGGATGTCTTTTGCAAATTGAGAAGTTTTCTTGGAGTTGAGAAGAAAAATCATGTTTAAAGGGGGGTGTTGGAAAAATAATATTAAACATGACTTTTCATGTTTTAGGAGTTATTTTTATGCATTTAGTTTTTTGTATTAGTGAGTCATCAATTTGGTATTAGTGGGGGACAAAATAATTGTGGTATTTTAATTCTCCAAGTAATGGAGGAGTGGGGTCTATATTATTTTTATTATTGCATTATGTAGTGGGGTTATTTTGTATGTCACGAGAGTCTATATATATTATATGTAATACATCAACTTGGATATGAGTGAATACAAATAGTTCTTCTAATCTTCAATAGTCTCTCCCATTATATTTTTTTTTTGTGAGTGTGTGATAGTCCTCTAGATTCCAACACAAACTTGGGTATATCACCAGCATTTGTTTCTCTTATGACATTGGTATATGACATTTGTGCTTCTTTTTTTTGGGTGGGGGGGGCATAAGGAAGTAAGTGTTCATTACAACAATAATACAAAGTCATCTGTGACACGTGGTATCACCAACCAATAAAAATATACTTAAGATGGTATCATTTTACAATGAATATCTTCTCAGAATGAGGACCTGGGTATGCATTTTCTAGTAGCAAAACAAATATTAGATGGTAACTTGACAAAGGCCGAGCATTTACCATTTAAATACCAATGATGCGGCATTTCCTCTGGAAGTTCTTATGAGTAAAATGTCACTGGTTCTCAATCGCCAACCCAACCCAAACTCACAAACTCCCCTTTCTCCTTTACAAAACCCACTACCCTATATCCCAAAATTCTTCTAACTCAGAGTAGGGAAAATTTCATGAGGTCACACACACAAACAAACACACACCCCTCCAAACCCTAGCCGTTGCAATGAAACCTAGTTCAATTTCCATGCAAAAATATCCAAAACCCAAATTCTAAAACCCTTAAACACACACTCACACATATTCAGCTAAAACATAAAAAAACGCAATCCAAGTCACAGCATAAAATGCCTAATCCATATAACACTTTAAACCCAAAAAAAAAACGCAACCCACAAACCTATCTCTTCATATCTCCTTTCTTGGTTGTTAGAGCAGCTGAGAGACGCCTCGACAACCGATCAAACTCAGCATTCAACCCTTTTTTTATTTTGTCTCATTTCTAAGGGTACATTTATCATATATTTGGCAGGCATATTATTAAAAATGGGAAATAGAGACACAAAATTCTTAAATTGGATTTGAGATTGTTGACTAAACAAAGTGAAGAGTTATCAAAGATTAGTGGCGATGTCAAATCTTGTCTGGTCATCAATCTAGCCCCTTGCATCACAAAAAGATGAGGAAGAAGCATACAATGGCTAGTGAGGGATGGACCGCCATGCTTCCCGCTGATGAAGGAAAACTCATATAAGGGAGGAGAAGAGAGAAGATAAGAGGAGAGAAGAAGGATTGGGGCCAAAGAACTGAAGAACGATGGGTAGTGATAAGAGAGAGAGAGGGGGGAATAGGAAGGATGGGGGCTGGACGAGCGAGAGACAGAGAGGAATAGGCCTCGATCAGTTTTCGTCGACTTAATTAGGCTGATTATCGACGGTAACGGAATGAATAATACTTGGTTTATTTGGAAGTGGTTTATCCCATTATTTATGGGATTAGTTATTCTTTAGGAATGGGAATGAAATTTTATTCCAACAAACCAAACAAAGGAATGGTATTACTAAGGTATGACCTTCCATTCCAGAGGTCTGATACCATGTACCAAACACAATGTAAAGATCTGGATCCCTCCAACCCCATCCCCAGCCAATGCCTTTGATCCTAGTGAAGTTCTAGTTTGCATACACAGCAATGGTTGTAGCCATCTATATTGATCACTCACTAAAGTTAGTAAAATAGTTTTGTGATCAAGTACACCAGGAAGGGGCAACATGGATTTCCATATTAAAGAGAGAGACTTACCAATTGGGCTGTAATAAAGGCACTAACAAGCAAGAAACTAGGTTGTTCAACAAATGACCAGCTATGGGACCTAGTTAGAAAGATGAGTGCTTGACTCACAATGCTCACTTGAAGGTAAAAAGTTGCGGGAAACTCATTTGGATTTCTCCTGATAGATTTAGCATAAAAAACTTTCCGCAAATGATAAAGGTATTAGTGCTAGCTTTTAATTTGATTATACCAGTGTACTGTAATTCAACTTACTTAAAAGAAATCCGTGTCAAATGCCTGCCAAAAGGACACCACAGTCATGATAGCAAGGTAGCTTCCAAGGACAACCCATGTGATTTCCTTGAGCTTCCATGAGTCGGGCACAGGAGACAACTTCACCCTATCCTTAGATATGGAGATGTTGGTTCATTATTTAGGGTGGCGATGATCAGGACCATGAAAGGTGAGAAGTCAAACTTCAAAATCAGTGCAATGATCATGAACCCCATCACAATATGAATCGTGATTGAAACAACATAAATGGTGTAGTTCTTCATCTTCTAGAAGATGGCTCTACTAGCCAAAATAGCACTCACAATCACACTAAGTCCTAGCTCGATCAATACAATATCAGATGCACCTCGAGCTGCATCTATTGCATCTGCCACTGCAATGTCTGCCCTTTTAAGTGCTAGAGCATCATTTACACCATCTCCTTCCATTACACAAATTGGCTTTCTCTCCTGTAGTTTCTTAACTATCTCATATTTTTGCTCTTAAAAAGCCCAAATCGATATTAAATGTACTGGCAACGAGCAATCATTTCTTAATTCATTGCAACTAAATAAGTCTTAGTTAAATAAGATCTAATTTACCAGGGAAAACTCCAGCAAATCCATCAGGCTTCTCAATGAGCTCATCAATGGGAATGGGAGCTATGGACTCATCCTTGTGCTGGCCTGGTAGGAAGGATGAAGATACATGTTGGTGCCCATGCCTAGCCTATGACCAATCTCTTTGCCAATAATAAGCTGGTCACTGGTGATCATCTTAACATTGAAACCAAGATCAAGAGCTTTACGGATGGTCTCTACACAATCATGCCTATGAGGATCAAAGAGAGGCAATAAACCAACGAACTCCCAAGGTCCACCAGCACTGTCCTTGCTTTTCTTCGGTATAGTCTGTGAACATATCAAACAGTCATATCTAATTCAACAGCAACGCTCACCAACCTAAATTCTCTAGTGTTGTGAAGAAATAATACACATCAACTCACCTATCGTGCAACACCCAAAATGGTTGCCAAAATTGTCAATGATTTCATGGGCATTCTTTCTATTATCCCCCTTGAGTTCACAAAGATCAATAATCTGTTATAACAGTGAATGAGTAAGATTTGTGAACCAAAATATTTGCAACTACAATAGTGCTAATCAAGAAGTGTCTTGCTTGGAAGCACCCTTGTTGTTTCGATGCCAATTACCACTGGAGTCAATGTAGGTGATATAGCCTTCGAGGAGGGACCAGTCTATATTTTGTATACCTGAGAATTGGTTTTGCGAGGCAAGGCAATGAAGCTGGTTAAGGTGTTGTGGCAACACCGGAGTACTGAGAAGGTTACATGGGAGCGAGAGGAACTATACGACATACCTATCAATTTCTATTTGAAGATGGAGATATAATTTAAACATTGTATTATTACATACAACAAGATTCACATGTGTATTTATCTTATGTGTTCCGTGTGTTCTTAATTTTGAGGACGAAATTATCTTAAGGGTGGAAGAATGGAAAACCAGAAAAGTTTAATAGATTGATTAGGTGGGTAACACAATAATTAAGCCATTTAAGCAAGGTTAAAAATATGAAATTTGATATAACTCGGATGATGAAACAGGTCTCATCATTGGAATTGTCTAGCGAAAACGAGATGAGCATATAAATTTCGTTAAATTCTAAGACAGTTGAAATTTTCAAGTATTATGAGGCGCAATACGCGATTAAAATTCCATAAACTTGGCTTTTATTCGCGGAACCCACAATATAAATTAAATAGATAATTAAAGAATCCTTATCCACACTTGACTCTTGTCAAATTGAGGTTGGCTTTGGGGGATTTTCAACCATTAAAAATATGACATTTGACACATTATACAGTTAGTATATAAAGGGTTCTTGCAAATCATGCAAATTTCGGTAAGTAGAGAGAGAGAGAAAGATAGCTTGGAAGAACTCTTCCACTTCCCCTTCTCTTTTTGCAAATTACTTTTGATTCAACCGTTTGAATTCAATCAACCAAGAATTAAAGTTTGCTACAAAACGAGGGCTACCTATCAACACAAAGATTGATTATTTTTTCGGCAATTTTGGATCAAGGATTTTGGCTAGAGCTTGAAGAAGTCTTGCTTTGGGTTTTCAAGGGACTTCTTCATCACCAATTGCTTCAAAGAGGTGTGGGTTTACTCCTAGCTAGTACTAAATTCCAATTTAGTGGGTGTACGTGATTTGGTATAATTATATGTATGTTAATTGTATAATTAACATATGACTAGTGTAGCTACTGGGTTCTCTTATGAATTTATAAGCTCATTATTCTAATACCTGTAGTTTTGAGTAAATGAGCATGTTGTTGAGTTGATTGTGACATGTATGTTATGTGTATGAATTTATGCACCCTACATGTTTGATGAAATACCATAGTGTAGGCAAGTATGCTATGTGGGTTAATTAATGCATATCACATATTGATGAAATGCTATAATGAGAAATATATGCTTCTTGTTATATTTGATCTTGTAAGTCCACTTAATTTGCAATTGGACATACATGGTATGAGCAGGGTTTAACACAAAATACATGATGCATTGTTATGGTAGTGTGTGTTTGTAAATGGTTTGATCACTTACCACATAGGTGAATGGGTGGGGCTTGAGAATTGGACTAAAGTCTGATTAAGTCTCATGGGAACATACATGATAATATGTCAAGGTATAGAAAAAAGAGATAAATTCTCCCTCGAGTACAAGACCCGATTATATCGGTCACACACTAGCCGGTGGTGTAATGAGTCCTTAAAAGTGTGTCAGTGTATGCAAACTGGGGGTGGGAAATCCTTAAAATCCGTGTGAGCTTGGTAGCCAATTGGTTGAAGTCCATAAATTAACTACCCCATAAAGGAAAAATAATAAATGAAAGGTCACTGGGGGAACATAAATCAATGGTGTGGGCATGGAGGGCCCGGTTCATGAGCATGACATCATATATGTCATGGGAACCCAGGGATAGGTTCGAGATTGGTTTTGCATGAATGAAACACCACTTCATGTCATCGCATTGTTGGTAGCATTTATTTATGTCACATGTTACTTATAGGAATACTTGATTTATACAAATGTGTCTTACCATCATATGCACCATTGAGTTGGGAGGCATATTTCTTAGAAGATATACCTCACTGGGCTTTGGCTCACCTCATTGTTGGTAAACATTTTCAAGTGCAATGCATGCTTCTGCGGATGGCCTGCACATGGGCCCAGCTTGATGATAGAGCTTGAGTCCGAGCTCCTATTTGGATGTACAGATACTTAGTTCCAATTGTAATTACTTAGATAGCCTTGTATTTTTGGAATTATATAACACATGTATATTCTTTTGTAAAGGCATATAATATGGAGCACTTGTATCTATTCTTTTGACAAATGAATGATTTGTGCATTTGGAGTTGTTGGTTGATATTTAAGGCATGAGAATTGTATAAATGTTTACATGGGACCTTGGAAGGTCATTGTAATTATCTAGAAACATGTTGTGTTTTGGGTGGAGCTCTTCATACAAAGGAGATTTTGTCATAATTTTGTTGGAATTGGTCCTCGGAACCAAGGCCTTAAGTAAATTAATGAGGCTTAACGTGTAGTAAGGGCCCCCATGAATTGGGGTGTCAAACATTCGCACAACATACATTAAGAAAGCAAAGCAAGAGAGAAAGCTAGGTACTTGGAAAAGATAATAGCATTTAGAGTACTAAGAGATTTTTAAAATTCTAAATGTCAGATTTTTTCTAAATGTGAAAGCTAGGCTTAATAAATGATTTTTAAAATTCTATCCAATCCTTATTTCCTCTCATTTTCCTTCATAGTAGACAATTATAATTCAAGACTTACAGTTTAATTGGACATTCATTAATTTTTTATTGGTTCGCTTCATACATTACTTGTGCACATGGGTTGCACCTCAACATAACATAAACAATATCCCTATAAAAGTTATTAGAATTAAATTTTTGAAGAAAATAATGTTAATATTACTATTATAATTTTGATTTATTAATCAGTTTAAAGTTGCCCCCTCTGCAAAAGATTTCTGACTCTGCCCCTGACTAAACTTGTGTGAATATTGCCTCATATTCTGTTGTAATAAATGGCAAAAAATGGGATACTTCGATAAGGTGATCCACTATAGCCTTAACTTTTATTGTTGTGTTTGGAAGGACTCTCATCATTGCTGAAAATGGTAGAAACAAACGATGCAATAACGGAATTATCTGCTGGTTGTGTTGTGGAGGTCCAATTTTCTCTCATTTACTCTTTGTCGATGACAATCTTGTATTTGTAGCTATTAAAGAATGTCTTCATTTATATGAAAGGGCTTTGAGAAAAAAGATTAACTTGTCAAAATCGGTTGTTGTATTTACTAGAAATGTTGGTCAAGATGAGAAGTTTCCTCTCCTTCATATCCTACAAGTCCATGAGGTTTCCAAACATGAAAAGTATTTGGCTAACCCTTAGTAGTTGGTTAAAAAGGAAAATTTTCATTCTATTTGACAAAGGGTATGGTCTGAAGTGCAAGGATGGAAAGAGAAATTATTATCTGCTGGGAAAGAAATTCTTATTAAAGTTGTCGCACAAGCAATAACCACTTATGTTATGCATTGTTTCATATTATCCTCCTTGTTATGCAAAGAGCTTAATAGTACAGTGGCAAATTTCTGGTGGGGTCAAAGAGACAATGAAAGAAAGATTCCTTGGATGGCTTGGAATAAGATTTTGCCTTGCAAAATCCCAATGAGGTTTAGGATTCTGAGACTTGGAAGCCTTTAATCTATCAATGTTGGCTAAGCAATTCGGGAGATTAGTACAACACCTTGACTCGATGCTTTTCAAAGTTTTAAAGGCTAAGTATTTTCCTACTTCTACTATTATGGAGGCACAAATATGGTCATCTCTTTCACTCACTTGGCATAGCATCTTGGCTTTAAGACATGTAGGGGATGCAGGAATCCGTTGGAGAATTGGAAATTGGCAAAGTGTTAGAGTCAAGCTGGACAGATGTAGGGATAGCAGTGGACGGGGGGAAAATTGGTATGCATCCAAACCCACCCTATTTGGATCACCAATAAATCGTATGTATTAGATGGTAGACATATACGGGGATGCTTGTATAAACCCGTATGGGGATGAAGGCGGGGATGGACTGACACTTACCCTTGCCCTGCCCCCACTATACTTGTCATATATATAATTAAATACACTCTCAAGTCCCAAACAAAGCCCTAATTGAATCACTCTCTTGACTTCTCTATGCCTCCACCTGCACTGAGTGTCTGAGTCCCCAAGCCCATTAGTTGTCCGTTGTTCGTTGGCCCCTAATTTTATTCAGTCTTGAGGCCCCTAATTTCTCCATCATTTTTCGTTGATAATTGGTTGTCGACGTCGGCTGAGTTGTTGATCTATGTTTGTCGATTGCAGAGGGTTTTTTCTCTAATAGGTGACCTATCATATACCATTGTGCTCAAACTTAAAACTCTTGAATTGATTACATAATGATATAGAATGAAAAATTGTGTGTGGTGATTTGATTACTTCTTTTCTGGGTTTTGGTTGTCTTGTGGGTTGTTTTTCTCTGTTGCATGTTTGTTTCTCTCTTTTTTTTTTGATAGGTTTAGAGGGGGAAGAAGGATTGAAAAAAAAGGAGAAATATGGGGAAGTTAAGAATGATGCACAGTGACCCAATTTGCAGGCAATAAAACTGTGCAAGTTTGGGTTGTTTTGGCTATGAGTTAACTGTCTCTGTTTCTTTTAAGATGATATTTCTTAATTGATAATTCCTTATAGTAAGCTACCAATAAACAAGTGAATTGATTTTTAAGTAAATTATTTGCATCATAATATATTATGTGAAAGTTGATTTTTACATGCAGTTGATTACAATCATTGATATTACTTAGGTGAATTGCTAGTTTAGCAATAGAAAGAGAAGAATTGAGAAATTATATTGCAACTCCTAAAAGTTCTGCAACACCAGTTGAAAGCAACCAACTTTCAATCTCTATTA